TCCATTTCCACTGTCAGAGGTTAAGGGATGAAGACCTCACTGTTACCTCAAGGGAAAAAGAACTGAAGTGTGGGTGCAGAATCAATCACCTAAAATGCAACAAAACAGAGCAAAGTATTTGTGCAAAAAAGTAATTTGTACATTGAACTTTTTTCCTAAGTTTGCTTCAGTATAAAAAAACCCTCTTCAATCCCACTAAGGAAGCTTTATTTTGGTTTAAGACCCTTCACCACACTCTAGAGTTCCGTGGTTTTACTTATCCTAATTTGGTAAATTAAGAATTCAGCCACCATTTTTGCAGCCCAAGACAAAGATGGAAGCTCCACTATGTTAATCTTTAACAGACTGGGGTAGTTACTTTTATTCACGACAGGTTTTTTTTTCCCCCTGTCTTCTACAGGCACAGTGCTTGTTTAACTGGCCTTGGGAAGAAAACAGCCAAAAATAAGCCAGGTCACCTTCTATGGCAGTGCAGAGCATCCTGGCCCCCTTTTCCTTGGGTTCGGGTTTGTTGTGGTTTGTTTTTTGTTTTTGTTTTTTTTTAAACATTGCTAAAATTACCTTCTTTTTAAATAGGGACAAGCTACTCCAAAAGCCTCTCATTTCTGTTTTGTTTTGGGTTTTTTGTGGTTTTTTTCAGCTTCTAAGGACTGAAAGCAGCTTCCTAAAGCTACTTCTCGATTCCAAAACCTCGAGTCAGTACACAGTATGGTCCAGTGATCATTTAGAAAGCACAGAGACACCTCTCTCAACCTGCTGCTTCACAGTCACGTTAGGAAGGGGGGTGAGAGAGGCAAAGTCTGATGAACTCTTCACTACACCCATCAAGGAGCCAACTCCACTGTTCCCTCAGTCTGTATCATAATTATTTTTAGATCTACAGACCAGGAATTTCCAAGCTGTGCTGTGCACATCGCTGCAGTGTGACAACAGAGCTCTGCCTGGGCAAGTAAACACCTCTCCTGAATCTCCACACACTGCCAGTAAGGGAATACACTAAGGAAACTTGGGAATCCCCACTCTGGATTCAAGAGTATACCAGGCACGTTTCTACCACATCTCCAGTGTGTACATTTACACAAAAATAGGTTTATCTGATTGCTACCAAGGTTGGCAATTTTGCTGTTTGATTTCCACACTCCATCAACTCCAGCTCCTACCAGACTGAGCACGACTGAAACTCTTCACCCCTGTGGTTAAACCCTTCTTCTCCCTGGGAGAATTAATCAGCTCCATGACTGCTCTAAAAATCTGCATATCTTTCCTAAACCCAACCCCATCTCACTCTCCTGGATGGCTGCAGACACAGCAGTAGCACAATGCATTGAAGAACGTGGGGCCTCCTTTTTTAAAGCCAAACCACGAGGGAGAGGCTTTAAAAAAGGCCAGGGCACCCCCCCCATTTCTGTTCACTGGAGTCTGCACACAAATTGGAAAGGAGAATTATTGCTCTTTAAGGATGAAAAGCTTTGGAAATACGGTAAACATCCTACCAGGTTCTACATCTAACCTCCTAAAACTCTGTACATACTTTATATTCAAACTTCTATTTGCTTACTCAAGATCAAATAATTTCATCTTCACATCTATTCATTAAACTCTTTATATTTCTACGGTCTAATGAATATTTAACAACTAAACAGGATCAAAACATGGGGAAAAGCTCACATGGCAATGAACATTATTTCATTTGGCCAATGAATAGTGAACCCTGCTTTCTTGGCTGAAATTAAGGCACTAAGTGGCAGTGAAAGGATAAAGGAATGAAGTTTGTTTCTTTTTTTTTTTTTCTACATTATCTGAAAAAAGACCAACATGACTTT